GATAGATAACGAGATGTAGGATTCATTTCGACAAGTGAATGTTTCTCAGTCGTTTCTGCATCCTACTAGGCTTACACTCCACAATACAATCAAATTTTCTGCTCATTATCAACTAAATAGAACTAGACAGACTAAATAGTTGAATAACTTGTTAGCATAGCATATATTCTTCTAATAATTAGTCCGCTCGATAAATGTAGTTACTGCAATAAGAAGATAAAATTTATCAAAACCAAGTGAAATGAATTTCAAACGAATTGATCACGTTTTACCTTGTTGCGAAATTTATATAAAATAAGCAAGGTCAACTTAGGTAAATGGGGATATAAGAACGAAAAATGTAATTAGAAACACGGATCAGGACATTCGAGCATTAAATTTAAAATCATTATTACCAGGGTAGTTTTAAAGTAAATTATTTTAAAGCTAATTATTTCTAACAAACGAGAGCACGTGAGATTTCATACGACTAAAGTTTCAACAGAGGCTAATGCTCACCCCAGATCACTTCTGTACAACACTGAAAAGCTAATTTGAGACTATATACTAACTTAGCTACATAGGCCTGTGACCCCTAATGGGGAATAGGCCGCCAAACAGCATCCTCCAACATACTCTGTCCTGGACTCTCTTTTCCAGTTTTGCACATTGGTGTCCATTCTTCTCAAGTCTGTTTCCAAATCTTAATATAATGTATTGTTTGGTCTTCCTCTTTCCATTTAGCCTTGAGGATTTCAAGTGAGGACTTGTCTTGTGATGAGATTGTGTGGTTTCCCCAGTGTGTGTCCTATCCATTTAGAGAGCTTCTGACTGATTTCTTCCTTTACTGGAATCTAGTTCATTCGCTCCCACAGTAGGTTGTTCCTGGTGGTATCTGGCCAGAGAACCCTAAGTTATTTAAGTAGAGAGCTGTTAATGAACACCAATGTCTTCTTGGTGACGGCTTTTGTAGTTCTCCGAAACTCCGCTCTATAAATTAAAACTTTTTTGACATTTGTATTGAAAATTCTGGTTTTGGTGTTGGTTGACAGTTGTTTTTAAGTTCCAGATGTTCTGCAGTTGTGGAAATGCTGCCCTCAGTTTGCCGATCCGCACCTTCACATCTGCATCCAATCCATCTTGCTCGGCAATGATGCTGCCTAGATGTGTAAAGACTTCGCATCCTCAAAAGTTTCTCCGTCAAGTGTGATTTGGTCGGTACATGTTGTGTTGTATCGGAGGATCCTGCTTTTCCTTGTGGTGAATATATATTGTATTTTGTTGTAACTCTGTCAAGCAACGATAATTAAAAACAGAGAATTTCTAGTTTTAGTCATTGTATTAACTAGTCATATTTGTAAAAAATTTAAGTACAACTGAAATGCATTCTTTATATATATATCAATGCGATAGTTTTGTCGGGCGTAGACCTCACTAGTCTTTATTCATCTTGTTTGTCTTTTTTGTTGTTTATCCTTGATTAACTTCGTGTAGCATTTTGGTTTAAACTATTAATTTCCTAAATAAAGCAACTAACAGTCCGTAATTTAAATATCACACACTTTGAAACGGTTTTAGTAATAAGTAATATAGTGTGAACAAATCGCCAATCTTGTAATGCTTGCAGCCTGACAACATTATTGAAGTAATTCTCATTCGATGAATATTTGTCAATCGACTTCTCAATTGCAGTCCTAAACATCAATGGGAAGATTCAAGTAACTAATACAAATGAATTTAACACATTGAACATAGAGCTAAATTTGACTTGTAGTAAACTAATCATTCAAAAACATTTTCATGAAAACTTTACTTGTAGCATTTCAGTAGATTGACGACTATAACTTCCTTTTTACAAAACACTGGAAATAATTGGTTAATGGTAGTTGTTTATTTTGATTATCTTTGTTTTTAAACTTGGCTGTTCTGGAATTTTAACTCACCCAACACCAAACATTCTAGTCAATATAAGAGACAATGTCTATTATATCAAGGCAGGAAACATTCACTTATTGGTTGCGAAATTAAAACTTAATCTATTTCACGAGTCAAGTGACTTGAAAACAACGAAACCGAGAATATAAATGCTGTCTGTTTTATTCTTATAATCTTTCCTAGTTAATCGTCATCAGGAGAAACCTATCGAGGGAGAGAACAAACCAGATTGTAGCGGAGGAAGCAATCAAAAAGAAGCTCTGAAAGTGAACAGAACACACATTGGAGAAAGCACCTGACTGCGTCACAAGACAAGCCCTTGCTTGGAATCCTCAAGGCCAAAGGGAAAGAGGAAGACCAAACAACGCATTATACCGAGGTGCAGACATGAGAAGAGTGAGCAGCGATCGGATAGAACAGGGAAAGAATGCCCAGGAAAGAGTTGGTTGGAGAATTCTGGTCTGTAGCCTATGCTCCGCTGGGGGTAGTAGGCGTAAATAAGTAATTTAGTTAATCGTTTATCCTATGATTTGCAGATCATGGTTTTGTACAACTTACAAATCTTATACTATGGGCTATTACCAAATCAAAAATGTTAGTTCTGCATATAAACAAATTTCTTACCTATGATTGGTATTCTCTTATTTTCTAATTCATTTAGTTTTACAAGGTAATATCTGAACCATTATTAGGAAATGAGAATTTTCATGCTATTTGAATGACTGGGCCCACTAATGTACATTTTCTTTTATTTATTTAGTTCTGAGTAAATGAATAATTATTTGAGAAGCAACTGTGATAAAGTTTTAAGATATGCATAACAGTATTTTCATACCTAAGTGGGATTTACAAGAATCGAATGTGTAAATATAAAAGATCCTCATATAGTTTAAGTAGAATTTCTGAATATTTTGATCAGTGAAACTTGCCAAAGTTATAGAGTTACCATGATAGATGGATGATTCAACGAAATTGTTTTAATAACTTGTTCAAAATAATCTCTGTAACGACTTACTGTTTAAATTGTGACTAGTGCTATAAACAAACTAAAACAGTTTAGTCAAGTTTGAAAACGAATAAAAAACTATTCGAATATGTGTGTTTAACTAAACACATTAAAAATCAATACTCAATGTTATTTTTAAGTTGGGTAATTTAATCATGAATGTTTTATTGTGTTTTTCAGTAACAAAATAGTGATGATAAAATTCAACTACAGGCGGATAGTTAGCATTTCTTTACAAGGTGTTAATAGCTTTGACTGATGACCTGGAATGTAACTGTTTAACACCAATAATTAAACTATAAAACTATAAAATTTTACACGCAATTTGTTGACCTTCATTACGACGATGTAACTGTTTACGGATTTCATTCTGGTTAACATATTGATTTTATTGATTGCAAAGTAACATTATTGATGATAGGCCTGTAAAAATTCATTCAAGTCAAGATTATGTCCACAACGATTAAAATGCACTGAGATGAGATATTTCGTGGGCTCTTATGGTTAACTAATGTCAAAATAGAAAGCAAAGGGAGCCACCAATTTCCAGTTAGGCATTGTTTGTTATGACTACAGTGTACTACTTAGATGATATTTAACTTGTCGACTGTTTTCATGACACTCTTCACTTTCGTAATTTAAATTTAAATTTTATGCACATTAGCTATACTAATCTTGATAATCCACAACCATTCGTTTCTTTTTGTCCACAGAAAAATTTCACACTAAGAACAACTTAATCCAACAGTTGATTTCTACGAGGCATTTGGTGAATGATAATGAATCCGATTGAAGACTTTTAAAAGTTTATGTGAATAGCAGCCCTTAAACATAAGGTTTTGAATAAAAATGGTAAGTTGATTAAGTCTGTAAATGTTTATTCAGTGAGGGACGTTTGAGATATGCATAAGGCCTACTCTAGTTCTGTCTTTCTTAGGCTACTTATTGTTAGGGTAGATAGATAGAAGGATGGTTAAACAATGACATTAGTCCATGAATTTAATGACTGGTAATCATAGCTGTATAGTAGGTATGCAAGATAACAGTAATCAATGTATCAGACTTTCACTGGGAGGGTTAAGTAATCTGAAGGTGTTCATTCTTTATCCTCCGTTAAAGCTTTGAGCAGTCGTCTGATACTTTTACTCTTTGATTGTATTTTCTAGGTTCGAGTTATGGTATGTAGATATAACTTTGAATTACAGTTAATATTGTTATTCTGTTGATTTTCTCCTTTAATTGTGCTACCATTAAATATGGCAGATTGAATCAAAACATGTTGGTATTAGATCCTGTGTTGTTTATGAACGGTTAATTTTCATCTATCAAGAACCAAGTAAAACATAATGACTATGGTGTTTCTATCATCAGAGTGTACACCTTATACTATATTACCCGCTAATCAATATCACATATCTAGATGCTCTATTGAGAGGAACGGGCGTAAATAAGTCAATTACAGTTATGGAGACTATTGTTTTTTTTACATATTTGAAATCATCAATCAATCATTGTTAGACCACCTTTAGAAACCTGGAAGCCCAGTGGTTCAGAGATTAGGCATTCGCCAGCAAGACTGGAGGTTTCGGGTTCGAATCCTGCGAGGTGCAGGAGTCGTCGATGCGCACTGTTGATGAGTCCCATACCAGGACGAAACGGCTGCTCAGTGCTTCTAATGGTGGTCTAACAATGATTAATTGATGATTTCAAATGTGTAAATAAGTCAGCCAGATTGCTTCTAGTGTATTCAGTGTTCGGAATTCAACAAGATAACCATATCTTGTAAATAACATAACCTCAAAAGTGAAATATTTAAAACAAGCATTTTTTAACAAATTCGACTACATTTTAAGCCAAACTGTATAAATTATTCACAAATACTATCATTATATGACTTCGTATTGATTAATAGTATCTAGATGTAACGAAGATCATAATGTAGGAAATGAAAACATCTTGAATCATTACTATGGACATTTACAGTTCCGATCCTTTTATTTGTAACCAGTTGTTCATTAAAGTGAACCTTGATCAATAGATAATTATGATTAGTTTATTATTGTAATAATAATAACTATTATTATTATAACATAAGTTTTATTCAATTCAAGACATAGTAATTGCCATACTTTCATCATAAAAAGAAAAAAAATAATAATAAAAAGTAGAATGGAGGAAAAAAGACGTAAAATGTGTAAAATTCATAGACGCGCACATTCACAAACACAAAATGGAAAAGATAGACGGACAATTAAAGAAAAATAATAAATTAATTTTATTGACTGAACAATATAAGTCGATATGTACTAGGATATAGATGGTATCCAATATTGTTCATGAATATTTTTGTATGTACACGTAAACAGAAATAATACCTATGTTCTGTGTTATATCAATTAAAGCACGTATCGTTAAAGGACAGATGACAATAAAGATAGTAAAATACAGAGAAAAAGGAACATAAAAATGACAATAATTTTATTTTTGATGAAAATGGACAATAAACCGTATTTGCTCTGTTGATAAAAACAAAATACAAGGTGTAAGTGTGTGTGTGTGAATATGTTGATCATGAATAACAGATATCATTTTATCAAAGTTACATTGTTGAAGACGTGAAATTACATAACATTAAGAAATTAATCGTTCCATCGAATTGGCGCTTTTAGCACGACATAGCGAAGAATATGATCATTGTAAATTGAATGTATACACACTGTAACTATTTACAAATATTCATTTGTAGGGATAAATTATTATTTCTAGATTAGGATTATTCACATTATTCATAATAGTGACAGTATAAATGTATTAACAGTATATGCTATTTGTTCAATGATCGATTTGGATTAAAATAAACTGAACCAATAATTTGACTGGCACCATTGCATTTAATGCTTAAAACAAACAATACTAATTAAAATAAACAACTTTATAGTCGATAAGTTTGCATAAAGTTCAATATTCACATTCTTACATTTTTTTATTCCTATCCCAATGCCTCTACTTGTTATCAGAATAGGTTTTAAAAAAATGTTCAGAGTGGAATAATGTCATGGTCTACAGTAGGTTCTGCTCTCCTGGAATTTCGTTGTAATATTCTTCGTTGAAAAATATTAGTATGGAACAACAGGTCAACATGTACAGAATGACATAATTAACATATGAGGATTCCGTTGAAAGCATAGAGGAAACATGTGAAGTGAATAGGAGGGACAAGATGTGACACATCAAAATGACTTAAATGCATACATAAATTTTAAATTGGCCAAACAGAGAATACACATGAAGGAAATAGATCATTTGAAAGAGTTTTCTTTAGACTTGACTGCATAATCTGGTTTCTTGAGCTTCATCAGTTGATATATGTGAAGTCAATAATAAAGGTAACTCTTCCATTGAATTAGGTTGACCATTAATGAAAGTGTCACCAATCATAACATTATTATTAGTAGTAGTATTAGTATTAGTATTACAACTACTACCAGCTATTCGGATGGACTGATTATTTTTACTATTACTATTATGTATATCTGTTAGTACATTGTCAATCATTTTAGGAATTATTGATTGACCGAAAGATGTATTTGGATACAAGGAGGATAGATTAGAACCGTTAGTGTTCGTATTATGATTATTGTGATTATTATTATTATTATTACTACTTGTAGCAATATTTCCCTGTCTCAAATAACCTGAACTATTCATAAATGTATTCGATGGTCTAGGTAAATCGACAGTGTCCATTTGATTTTTATCACCATTTTGTAATTGACTTTTAATCAGTAAACTAGAACGAAATGTTGTAGGGAATGCATTATCATATGGTCCACTGCCAAAGTTAACTGTGCCAAATTTATCTTTATCAATTGATTTTTCTTCAAATGAACTACCCTCTGTTGTTACAGTATGCATTAAAACTGATGCATTTTGATTGTAGGATGTAGTTCCACGAGTTGAATTGATATCATCTTTAAATGTTACTCTTGGTCCGTTTGAGGATGAAGATGATATGTTGATTGGAGCCAAGGCGTTTCCTGTATTCTGTGAACTTGAATTCATCAGACCACATTCACCAGCTGATAATATAGCAGTGTTTTGATGTGACCGTAGACATGTTATCTCATCTGATGCACCAATTCTTGAACAATTCCCATATGGCTCAGTTGTTGTAGTCATTCGAGAATCTGTAGATGTTTGATTCGGAAAACGATTTATTAATGAAAATGAGTTTGAATGTGCAATTTTCGGTGACGTAAAACCAAATCCTTGATAAGTTGAACCACCGTGAATAGAAATTTTATCTATAAAAAAAAATGAAGCGTATTACTGAGAAAGAATAAAAATCATAGCGTAAGAGGGAACCATTTTTATGGCTCATTCTAGGATTATACGAAAGTAAAAAATTTTCTTTTTTCCAATAAATATATCTGACCATATCTCTGAAATATAAAATTCGTCACTCTAAAGTTTGTATGAGATCAAACTAAATGTATGCACACTGTTAGGATATTCATCCAAATCCTAAGAAAATTATTGCTCCATTCCTATTGGTTAAAACCCATTGGTCAATTTTATGGTCGTCCTAGAAATCAATGTCACGTACTCCAATGTTGTTTCTTATTAGTCGTCCTGACTATCAGTGTCACTTCAAATGTTTCTTCCTATTGGTCACCTTAACTGCCAATGTCGCAGATTTTGATGCTGTTCCTTATTCGACCCAAATGTATAAATACCCATTATCTGTAACGCTTTATGACCCGGACCCGGATCCTTAGTCGGGGATCCGTTTCTTCTTCTGAACTCGAACCTCGTACTTTCTGAATGCTTGCAGAATACAGGTTCTTCTTCATATCAAGTCTTCTTCTTTTGTTCAGTTGGGGTTGGGACACTCGGATTAGAGTAGCAGGTTGTGTCGCTGGATCCTCGATCCTCACTCTCGTTTTCCGACTAAGGTAAACTCGTAATAGTTCAAGCATATCAAACTGACGTGTTTACATTCATGCGTTCACGAATTGTAGAACGGTTAAGCAATGGAAATATTTAGGTCTGAGTACATAAAAACATTATGTAAAATCCCTTCTCTTTTTATGAACTAAGTTTCCTGCGTATTTTTTTGCTTTTATTAATGTTTTATATTAACCATTATCCTCTATCCAAATTTGAATTAAATTTATCTTTTTCATCGTAACTTGTTACATCTAAATATATTGCACAACAATTAATTCATTTGCTTCATCGTTATTATCCATTCTTATTCTGATAAGGGAAGCTAAAATTATGTTACTTTCTCTTATTATATGATTTTTTTAAAGTAGAACCTCGATAATATGGAACTAGTTCACATTTCTGCAATGACCTTTGTTAGTATCCGATCGGCTGTTGTCAACTATAGTCTATTAATTTTGTCATGTCTCAAGGTCGTCAGATCGAGTTGGTCCATTTCAACTTTTTTTACTTCTGTATGTAATATAAAGCTATCCGAAAAGTCCCATTTTCTCTATTATCATATCTTAATGTACGGATTTCAGTTCTTATTCTATAGAGTTAGTCATAGAACATGTTCATAATAGAATAAGTTCTATTTTCTCTTAATTTACAAGTACTATAGTTTTGTACTGAATACAGTCTCGAATTATAACACATTCCTACTAACACTGATCTTCATTTTTTTTCTAATCAAGGAATAAACGGATTCTCAATCTTTATTTTGTAATTTTATTTAAGGTCTGACTTCTTACTTGCTTATATTTCTGAAATATTTTGATAGTCTATTTACTAATCTATTTTAATGATTCTGGACAAACTGAACTCCATAAATCATGCTTATTGTACAAAATTTTATCAGACCTTAACACAAGAAACGAAACTAAAAGTATACCACTTTTTTTAATCACAGATATATATTCCGTATATCGAATTTTTAAAAAAGGATTTTAACGAATCCTTGTTAGTTTTGAGACTGGCATGTTGTATTCAGAATAATGATTTTTAGGTGATGGCATTATTGACCAAGATTTACTTAATTATATGAATTTTCGTTATACCATATCAGTTTACCAGTGGGCAAGTTTATTAAAAATACATCTAGCAATTTACTACGGGATCGAACTAACAACTTAATGTGCAGCTGGTAAGAATGTAATAAGCAGCTGAACAGCACCTGATGGAAATAGCTTTATGACTGTTAAATATGTGACTACCTTTCCCACCATTGACTTCTCTTTGGAGCTCATTTGGTATAGACTGCTTGCAACTATATATATATACTTTGGTCGTTAATCTTACATCTGATTTACTGTAATCTAGTCTTCGTGAAGGACAAAATGACAAAGGAAGAAAAACCAAATATCATCTACATAATAAATTGTTCAGACTGTGAAAAACACTACATAGGACAAAGTGGACGACCTCTTCAGCTTCGTTTACGTGAACACCAATTAGCAGTCAAACGCCACGACAACCCTTCGCTTATATCAATACACCGACAATTATGGACATGCAATCGATTGGAACAATGTGGAAATACTGGATAGGAGGAAGATAAAAAAGCGCTAGAGAATTTTTAGAAGCTTGGCACTCAGGTCAATCAGCAATCAACAGACTCATCGATATTGACCCATTCATCAACCGATCAGAAAAACCATAGGTGACATAGGATCAAGAAACAGATCAAAAGGGGGATACAATCAAAACAAAGATGAAAACAACGATAGATTTAAGGTCAACAGCAACCAACCAGGATCGAGGCTAGCAGAACTAGATACAGGTCAAACGTGAGGAAATTCTAATACTTCACTTCTTCTATCTCAAGTTTGTGCTGTCGATGTTGTTCAGAAGAACAATGAAAGCATCACAACCAAAATATCCAGCTCAGAGAACGAAACACCACAAAAATCGATTGTATTTCCTAGTTATATCTTAATAATAATTCAAAGGCTATATATTAATCTTAGTTCACTGGATCCTTAATGACAAGATTACCAGTTGAACTTCATACAACAAACTTGTTTTATTGATAAATAAGCGCGAATCAAGTGGCGGCACCAATTATTATTCTAGAATGTGAATGGAATATGTGACTCACTTGAAGGTTGGATTGTACTCAGTGAATTGTCACCATCGTCTACTCCACCACCATGACCTGATGAACTTGATGATAGTTGAGTATTATTATTAGCTGTGTCATCATTGTTAGAATTATTGTTCAAGTTTCCTGAATATAAATTTAATGCAGGATGTTGCAACTGACCACTGGATGACGATATTGTGACTGGTGTCAACGATGGTAATCCAACACAATCGTTAGTATTATTTCCATGATTGTTACGAGCGGTAACAAGAATCGGTTGACCAATATTAGAAATGTTTGAATTCAGGGCACTTTGAAGACAGACATAGTTATTCCCACCTAAAGTAGAAATGTAAACATGTTGCATTTTAAAGTAGCAACACCATCGGAGCTGTGTTTATTAGAAAGATAACTCATCATTGAACGACATTTATGTGTGTGTGGATGTGAAGACATGAGTAAACCAAATAAATTGAATAATGGACAGAATATTTTTCTATCTGCTCTAATTTTTTTAGAATTTTATTTTTAAAGGCTTACAAAACTGAATAACTTCTCAAATATGTTTCATCAGAATTATTACTATAAAATCTTTATAATCTATAGATATACTAACAGGTACATCAGGTAATCTGATCATAGGTGTGACAAAACATTGATAAGAATTGATTGAAAAAGCCGTGACATTTTTTTTCTTTTGAAATAAATAACTCAACATAATCGGACAATATAACTTATGATTGATTGTGTAAATTAGTAATGAATAGGCAAAAGTTGCTTTATGGAATATTATTATTGTTCCTTAGTAGTTTTAATTGATTTCTAAGTTATTTTATTAAAAAGACCTTTACCTATTTTGGAAGTACTGGACGGCCGTTTCGTCCTGGTATGGGACTTCCCAGCAGTGCGCATCCACGACTCCTGCACCCCGCAGGACTCGAACCCAAGACCTCCGGTAATGTGCACGAACGACCCAACCGATAGACCACTGAGCCGGTTTCTAACGGCGTTAATGTCTAACTTGATCAAATTCACGGAGCTGCGCAACCTCATACACGGTCTTCGGTAGTTACTGTCTACACCCGAACTGGTTGAACTTCACTGGTCACGTCTTCCCACTAGAACTCGGAGAAGATTCTTCACGAAGCCAGTCACTAGTGAGCACAGGTAATTTGCATTACGGGGTTGTGAAGATTGTTAAGTTACACATTTTTGAAACCATGAACCGATCAATGTTAGACCACCATTAGAAACCTGGAAGCACTGGATGGCCGTTTCGTCCTGGTATGGGACTCCTCAGCACCGTTAGATACCGGCTCAGTGGTCTATCGGTTAGGGCGTTCGCGCACAATACCGAAGGTCCTGTTGTAGCTATTGAGGGGAGTTGATTAAGATGTTGGAATTCTCGGACAGATTCTGAGGTATGATAATTTGTCTGTTTGACTAAATGTTCGAAATCAACATGTTTGAATTCCGTTAAATTTTTAACTTTCCACAGAATTTTGTTCCCAATTGCTGAATTGAACACCCTGTCAACAGAGGTCATTCAATAAAAGCCGATTTTATGTTCAGAGTTATCGATAAGATAAGTAGAAAGCTGGAAAAGGCGATTGACTGCCGTCTTTTTAGAGTTATCAAAGCACTTGCCATACATCTGGAGAAGACAGAAACTGACACAACTGCTTTTCTTACCATGATCCTGATCTCTCACGGAATATTAAAAAAAAATTTGCTTGAAGACAATCTGTTTCATTTGTATCTTCTTCTCCAGAGACCTTTTAACTCAAACTTATTTGTTTCCATTTCTATGATCCTCATTGTTTGAAGTTCATCTTAGTTTGAACATTTCACATAACACTGAGCCTTTCCTGTTCAATGACAACTTTTTTATCAATGTTCGTGTTGAATATTCAAGCCTTCAACAGCAATATTATTCTTAATTACCTTAATCAGAATAACATTTTATACTATTATCTAATTTGCCTCACTATCACTGTGTACTGAAAAATTTTCATAGTTACTACCATTGTAATTATTATCATGTAAATAAAAGTATACAAATGTGATTGCACAGTATTGAAAATGAATTGGTCGAAATGAGAACTCTTCGTTAAACCAATCTTCCCTGTTTTAAAAATTCACTGTTATATTTCGTTCAATTATGGTTTTAAGTCTATTTATCCAAGTTTAATCTACTACCTACAACGTTGAACTATTGACTGGAACTCTTGTTATTCTATTATTCTTACCATTACTAGTACACATGTCTTCCTACCATTAATTTGTTCTTTTACCTAATATGTGTAGTTATGTAATCGGTTTAACGTTTTTATATAATAATTCAGGTATATCAGAGTTAAGTCCGATGACGATCTAAGTGAAAATAATACTGTTTACCTATCTGTATAACCTTAACTTTCACAATGGCAATCTTTAATATATTCTAAGTGTCTTCGTTATCTCATGATTTCACTTGACATTTTATTCAACATCAGTTTGAATAACCATACTGTGAAAAAATATCAATGAAGTTTTGATCAAAATAAAATGATTATGAAGGCTACCATGAGCCTGAAAATATGGAGAAGTTGTAAAAGGGTTTTTGATTCGCTTTTCGATATGAGTTAAGACCATTTATAACTATCACATTCATATTTCAATATTTTGTTATGGTATAGGGAATTTCCGAATTGTCCTTTTTCTTTATGCATATCAGTGTTTAATTTGATTCTCTACTGATTCCTAATGACAAAAATGTTTATTCCATTTCAGCCTCTTGATTAATGAGTCCATTTCATTCTAATACACAACGAACACAATGAACTTGATTTGTAACTATTTAGATTTTTATCTCTGTTTATTTCACTCCATCAGGAATTAAACCAGTTCTGGTTGCAAATACATAAAGTAAATACGAAAATTGAGTGGGATTTACTAAGTTATTTTTAGTAGTGATTTACTTTACCCTGTTTTAATCATGTTACTATCTATAATTTCTGTGGGAGAATGGAATTTCAGTAACGCATCATGTAATATTCGATTTTAAAAAGTAAAGTTCTCTTACCGCTTTGTCTACTGCCTGCTTCAACATCTTCAATTCCATACTCTGAATTACGTGTATCTACATGACTACCCACTTGATGATTAGGTCCAATGGATGAATTTACTAAATTAGATGTATGATTATTAATATTATTATTATTATTGATCATTTCTGGTGTGACTAGTATTTGTGCATTGAGTGGTAAACCGACACTTGATGCACTTGCTGATATACCATAAAATCCTGTATTTCTATCATGAAAACAAGCATAAATTGGACTAGCCGGTACACCAATCGCTTGTGAACCATTCCCATCAGTATGTGTTATCCCGTCATCAGTTGAGCCACCAAGCATAGTCATTTGTGTATGCATATTTGTTGAATTTGGATTGTGTAATTGATTGGTTAATCGATTATTAGTCCCATTCATTGGTAAACCATAATTTGTTGATGTTGTTATTTGTCTTATTTGACTATTGAACATTGAATTTTGTATCATATCATTGACTGGTTGATAATTTATCGGTGGAATAAAAGTTATCGGTTGAAATCCTGTTGTCATTACACCTGGTGATGAAATAGTTTGCAGTGGAAGATTCACCTTGGAAAAATATTAAACAAACCAACAGAGAAATAAGAACAATAATACACACAAGCTTATCATGAATACAAATATAGTATACTGAAATAAAATTTATTTATAGCATGAACTTCTAGTTAAGTTTCTTATTTTCTTTCTCATAACAAACAAATTCTATTCAGTATTTGTTACAAAAACATATTCCAAAAAATTTGAATAACATTTACTGTAATTGTTTTAATTGAATATGAAATAGTTTACTCTGTAGAAAATGCTTTATTTGAGTATGCAGATAATCTCATTATGAGTACAGCGATTTAAACCTTTTCAAGTGCCATCAAAAATAAATCAGTTCTTGTCATTCCATGAAGGATAATCTGTTGTTAATGGTCTTACAATTTATTTTATGAGTATAAATCAGTTCATTTTAAACTGAGAAATCGATAGGATTTAAACAAAACTCTAAGATTCCGAAAAACGGTACAACTGGAAATTCTGTATTAAAAAGAGTAAAAGATCATTTATCATAGTGTTAGCTTCTACTCTCATCTATCTTGGTCCGCTCATCTCTTACCGATTTCAAAGAAGATTTTCCATTTCACATATTGTACACACAGGCTACATGATTTTCACATTACTCCGTATTTACTCTGACCATTTGTAAATTGTTGTAGCGACTCTGTTGTAATTCACTGTTCCCCATCATTTATTCACTCGACTTTCAAGAACATATTTTACTGTGTTGTGGAGATTGTTGAAGGGATTTGTCACCGTCTGTAGTGAATCATTTCAAATCATCATAAATATGGTTGTGGATAGACATTTGAAATCTTGCACACTCCCATCAAGTATTATCTTATCACATACCAACAACAACCCATTGATTACATATTTTTCTCTTATATATTCTGGTTGAACAAGACACCAACACATTGCAATCCATGCACATTAGCAAGAGTATAAAAGCTCAGTAGTACCAGATCCTGCAAATATACTATGAGACAAACAGGTAAACAGAGTTGACCTAGTCGAAATCTTGTATTTTTGAACATGTTGTTAATCTGAAATGTGTGTAGATTGTCATCTTATTGAGAAACATTTCATTGAAATTCCAGGTAGTTTATTGATTTATTTCATTTTAATGATTATATGTTCATGTGGTTATCAGTTGTATTTTTTATGCGTGTTTAGTAGAAGAAACTTGTTGAAATATTCTGTACTAAGAATTTCATATTGTACTAAAAATATAATATTGAATGAAGCCATTATTATTATTATGGTTGTTACCACTATTATGTCTGGTTCAAGCCCTTTTTGTGAATGATCAGATTACTCACTCATATCGATTGAATTTTTACGCACAGTTTTAGAATATTTAAAGCATTTTGTTAAGGTCAAAAGTTTGTTTACATTATTTGCATTGAGAAACAATACTGTCTTGGCGGTTTTTTTCTAATTCAGCAATAAATTGTAAGAACAAAACAATGTGAGGCATAAAAAAACCTCAGCTATTCACTTTAGTCAATAAACTAACAAGAGGAAAATTGTGAGTGGTCAGAGAAAGTAAAGTGATAATAACGCCACCACCTACAATATGAAATGAAGGAAGCCTCAGATGCTTCATCTTGTGACATTTCTAAAAAAAACTATTTTCAAACTCCACAACTAGTTAGAAATTTAACTCATAGAATCATCCTACATGTTAAAATTATCATCTGTGTCTGTTAATCATACCAATTTGTTTTTTACTTCTTATTGAATTTAAGCTAAAATAGGCAGTCACATCTTATTTTCATACACTAATTGATAATTCTTACGATCTGCCTGTGAAATGGTTAGTGAATAATAAATATACTGTATGTAAAATTATGGAGGTTTTATGTAAATTCTTACAAAGCCATAGATAATTGAGCAACCTATCCAGTTGAAACAAAATATTGATTCTAACTTAATTAATGAAATTCAGTAGATACGAATCAATTTTAAAGAGCTTAGTTATAAGTCATAGTAACTGAATGACAAAATAATTCAAGAATTCAATCCACGTCATGTGATCTTTGGCTATTGTGTAAAGTGGTTCTGATTACTTTTATTCATTTGACGTAAGATACCCTGATAAATTTAAATTTATCACAAATATAGATTAAAATGTACAGCGACTATATTTGATATAAGTATAGTCGTTTCGTCTTGAAACTAGATGAGTTCAGGTTACTATAATGCAACTAAGTTCAGGTTTGTTATTTTAAATGCCATAAGATGCAAGGGAAAAATGATTTTTGTGCATTAACACATTGGATGATCGTTGCCTTAAATTATAATTTGACAAGTAGAGTGATGCACTAAGCCCTGTACTTTCAAATTGTTCATTTTAATGCAGATGACCTATAACATGTTATATTTCTGGCTGTTTGCTTGCCTTTTAAAAAATAATTTTAATTCTTATACTCAAAGAAAATTACGATTAGACTGTAAGAATTAACATGACCTACGAAGCTTTTAAACGACTGCATATTCCAAATAATGAACGAGTTCTACATGGACTGAACATTTTAGAGTTTATAACGATGAAATTAAATTCGTAACGAACAATAACTCGACTCCGTCTATGTTCCATATTTAAATTTACTCTTTTATTTGTTTAATAATTCGATGTCAACTAGATAAATTTAAATTAGCGTATATTTTACCATCGATAGTCGTCGTCAATTAAAAATAGACATTTAATTTTTGAGCTTCATAGGTATGGACACTAAAAATGATTAGAAATAAAATATACTACCTAAATAAGCTTGTCAGTAGTATAAAAATGTAATAGACAAATAGAGACGATAGTGATAGCGAGCATCGCACTTAAATAGACTGATGAATTTGTAGCTCTATAATGTATAGGAGATAATTATCCTTTAAAACAAAAACTGATTCTGATAGAACAGTGAGAAGACGTAATTGATCTGGAAAATGTGATGTATTTGTGCCATACATTTCGAACAATCTTTAAGCCTAGGGTAATGTGACAATTTTCCTACCCTTTCTAATTCTCTTCATGTTACGTTAATTTTCTCTCTCCTTCATTTAAACTTACCACCTTGTCTTTTTGAACTTTTATTTAATTGACCTTTTATTAATCTTCATATAAAATGCCTTGACAAGTAAATATGTGTGACCAGATTGTTCGAAATGTATAGTGCAAATACATCACATTTTTCAGATCAATTACGTCTTCTCACTGTTCTATCAAAATTTATAAAAGGGACTAATTGTTTTAAAAACTGATTCGTTCCACCTCTTACTTCTCGAATTAATTGTACATTTATTCACTAACAAATACATATCAATTATTTGAATCGATTCCAGTAACTGAATTAATTAAACCTCTTAGTTTAAATTATCAATATACTATAAAATAGGATGTTTAGATTATATGCAATGATTTTCCAGTACTCCTAGTTATAATCAAATCCTACTTTGATGTAGATGTGTAATATAAAGCAGGTTATTCATGCACAACGGATAACTTGTATCAATTTTAAGAGTTGTCTATGAACACAGATTGAAAGTATAATCAGCAAAAATAATTAAATGTTTCACTCTGATTAAAAAAACTATACACAGATTCATTCATCTATGTATAATTATAAGCGTACAAGCGTATGTGTGCGTATATGTTACTTATTTAAACGGTTAGTTATTATCGGAAAAGCTAATATTTTGTATTCTAATTTTTATTACTATTATTAATATTATTATCAATATTTTGAATTGGTGTCGAAATAAACGTAACAAATAAATTAGTGACGAATGTTGTATTTTCTTCCCAATTATTTTTATGCTAGTACGCTTGAGAGTTATATTATATATTCCAACCTATCGATCCCATATTCTTGTAAATTATATTTTGGCAATTGATTATGATACAAAATTATTTTAAAAATTTCTAAACATGTAACATTTTGTAACATTTTCTCAGAGCTACACTGTTTATCTTCAATACAATAATAATGGTGTTGTGTAACAAAACGCTCTTTTTGAAAAAGCCGACAACAGTTGTACACGTTTGTTCTATTTATTTGTAGGATTGAAAAAAATTACAAAACTGAGGAAAGCCCATCAGTTTTTTTGACATCATTCTATAGGAGATGATAAATAAAAGTTATTCATTAGGAAGTATTTCTGAAATAGATTTTTCAGCATTTTGAGAAAAAAAAATTCTCTCTACCGGTCTATTTGAATCTGTCAAGTAGTGTCAAGTAGTAATCAATTATGCATTGTTCATGTAAAAGATTTAAAAAATGAAACACCTGTTTACAACTGATCAAATAGCGATAGAAATCAATTAAAAGATATCCATCTAATTAACTAACCACTGAGGATATATACTGACTAAAATTCTGACAGCAATAAGTAAATTGGGAAATTCTCAAGAAGACTCAAACAAGCTCTGTGGCATCTTCTTATGTATATTAGTTAACTAAGGGTTTATGATACGGTAGAATTATTGAAAATAAAAGAATCCATCAAAACTATGACGTTAAAAATAATTTATGTTCAAAAAAAGCATCATCTAGTCTCATTTTACTCGGTGCATTAATGGCAAACTTCATTTTAGTACATTGAAAAAGTTCATTTGTTGTGCTGGGCCAATCGCTTCTCAGGTTCAATGAGTAAAACAATTTACTTGTGCTAACAGTGCAATTAAGTCAGCGGTCAGATTAAAACGTTCTCAGTAAAATTCAGTTCACACTAAGAACTGAATAAGATTATTCTTTTGTCGATGTCACATGAAATCATCATGAGTTTGGTTGAACATATATAGAAGCAGTAGATACTCAGTGCTCTCTAACTACTTAAAATATTTTAAGTAGCATTGATTACTGCTAATAACAATTTATGATCACTGTTTCAGGATATTTCAACAAGTTTCTTCTACAAAACAGGCATAACAAATACAACTGATACCCACATGAACATTTAACCATTAAAATAAAATAAATCAATAAACTACCTGGAATTTCAATGAAATGTTTCTCAATAAGATGACAATCTACACACATTTCAGATTAACAACATGTTCAAAAATACAAGATTTCGACTAGGTCAACTCTGTTTACTTGTTTGTCTCATAGTATATTTGCTAGATCTGGTACTACTGAGCTTTTATACTCTTGCTAATGTGCATGGATTGCAATGTGTAGGTGTCTTGTTCAACCTGAAGATATAAGAGAAAAATGTGTATGCAATGGGTGGTTGTTGGTTATGTGAAAAGATAATACTTGATGGGAGTGTGCAAGATTTCAAATGTCTATCCACAACCATATTTATGATGATTTGAAATGATTCACTACAGACGGTGACAAATCCCTTCAACAATCTTCACAACATAGCAATATATGTTCTTGAAAGTCGAGTGAATAAATGATGGGGAACAGTGAATTACAACAGAGACGCTACAACAATTTACAAATGGTGGAAGTAAATATGGACTGATGTGAAAATCATGTAGCCTTTGTGTACAATAAGTGAAATGGAAAATCTTCTTTGAAATCGGTAAGAGATGAGCGGACCAAGATAGATGAGAGTAGAAGCTTACATTATGATAAATGATCTTTTACACTGTTTTCATCGCATAATCTCTAGCTGTTCCGAATCTATGGTATTCATTTAATTTTTTCTGTTAAATCTGTTACATTGTTAGAATTTCGTTATCGTTTTGTATCAGAGGCTTTACATTTGAAACGAAATTCTATACACTGATCAGAAGTTTTCGTTTCATATGAAAATGTAGTTTTACTAAATGATTGTTTGCTAAAAGTCCGTTTTCAGTTACTCAACAATGCAAATGTTATCACATTATACAAATCTAATAATTCCTGTTTGATTATCAGACTCTTTCAAAAAAAATTTAAGTTGCCATTTACTTCCCATGACTGAAATGTATCACGTATCAGTTGACTGTATAAATTACAATAAAACGGAACACTTGTCTAATATTTGGTATTTTTCGGTTATCAGAATGATGCAAACTTTTAAATTGAAATCTACACCCTATCCATAAGTTACCGAAAATCTTTGTAGTTTTAACACAACCTTCGAGAGAAATTATTATTCTTGGAATAAAATACTGATTCATCTTCCAATTAAAAAAAAGTGCCTTCAAACTAGTAGCCTGTATAAAATAATTAATAAATATGTTAATAATTACCGGATATAACTGCTTCACTGTAAATTTCCTTAAATATACTTATTAAGCCAATATAGGTTGGAAAGATGAATCTTATATATATATATATATACATGCAAGGAATCACCTTTACTTTTCTTAAAATTAATGTCTACTGAATGGATATATAAAGTATATTTTTATGTGTATGATAGACCGTGAATGTGGCTCAAATGCTTCAGCACATAGTTTAGCGACATGAAACCAGTCAAATAGACTAACAAAATTACCAAATGTATGCATTACAATTGATAATGTTTTATACCAAATGTTTACAATGATCAACAAACAGAATCAATCATTCACATACTAACAAACTCCATCAAATTATTATTATTATTATTCAGTATCATTCTAATCGGTGACTTTCAGTTCGTAAATAAAGTTGGTAAGATGATTTCACATGACAGACAGCTGACCTTCATCATCAAGTGATTTATCTACAAAATTTTATGCTTGATTTGTGTTGATGCTGCTTTATAGTTGTGGTATGAATGCATTTTCTTTTACTACAAACTTAATTCACTAGTTTTATATTCTTACTGTCATGTCATTTGTTTTAGATACTTTGTCTGCAATCGGAAATCAATGCAAAAGTGACTTAATTGAAAGACATGATTTAGTTAATAAATCCCATCGATTCAGTATGGGGAATAAAAAAGAAAAATATATATATATATTTATTTACCGGAAAGTGTAGTTTCTTATTTTTTTCCGCAAAACATTTGTATATTTATTGAAAGTGTTTGTGATATTGAGGAATTTATTTTTACAAAACAACAATAACTACCAAATTTATCACATATATCACATATATCTGGAGAATATTTTATGTCTACCGATTTAGCATTGTCATTTGTGTTCTCCTTCTCGGTTTCTTAAAACGATCACTAACATAGTATGAGGAAGTTGACGCCCATTTGAATAATTGTAACAAAAACTTCTGACTATCTAGTCTTTTTTTTCTCTCCCTAAACGGAATCTGAATTCATTCTTCCATGAAGTAGTTACTATTGTTATTATCATAATAAGCGGGAAAAGACTACTAAGATTGAAGTTTAGCCTGATCAGCAGCAGCCTACGTTCCATTAGGGATAACAGACATAAGTAAACAAGTAAGTAAATTCACCAACTTTATATTAATTACAAGTGAATAACTAGTACGAATAACATAATTTCACTGTTTTTGTCATTTGTACCAGATGAAATCATAGTTCATCCAGTTATATTTTACATTTAATCATTGCTATTTAAGAGCTGGATCAGAAAGCCATATTAAATGCATAATAGGATGAAATATAAGAGAATAAGTTTTGCTTCTTGTTATATCGTGAGTAAAGCCTGTATCTATTACTTTTGATTTGATTTGGTGATTTATTAAACGTTTTCCAAGATGAATATTGATTATCTTTACTCTAATTCTATACATTTCGTAGAAATAGTTATTGAGTTTGGTTATCAATTAAACTCGTTTTAGTTCATTTTGATTTGTTTTTGATTTGTGTCGTACATTCTATGAGTTTCTCTAACAGAAAGATTCAAAATTAACGATTGTAGGTTCATTATTATAATTGCATTCTGACTGATTAGTCTTTTATGACCCAAGAGAGATAGACAGACAGACAGACAGACAGACAGATACAACGCAAAACATCGTACATAAGTACATCAGTTCAGGTTGCCACACCATGTCAGCACAGAGACGTAACTGTCAGTTCAAAACCAAGAGTGATAGCGATAGCAGAATTATTAGCAGCGATGGAGAAGATTAGGCAGAAAAGATATGATTCGAAAAGTATAATTCAGTGGGATAAATTTAGAAGGAGAAAGGTAGAGATTATGAGGAATTCAGAAGGTTAGAATTAAAAAGCACACAAAGAGTGGATGCACCTGCGCCATTGCAAACGATTCTGAGCCATGTCGTTCAAGGTCTCCAACCATCGGTGACTTTCGTCTCGCGGACCCCAACCAGGTAGCCTACGTATACCAATATGACTCAATCCACCTGTCACTGACTTCGTGGATTTCCGCCGTGTTTTGATTTGGCCGCCCCTAACTTTCTTCCAACCTACTCCTACACCACAAAACATAGATCGTCGCGGTAGTCGGTGGTTGTGACCCAAGACCTAACTGCGAATTTAAAAATCAATTGAATATGCTATGAAATAATTTTTTCATTTAATATCCGTATATTACTCTTAGGCAAATCTCGTTTCTGAGTGGGCTAGCGCAACTGATGAGACATGACTAAATAATTATAGTCAGACAAAAATACGTTGGACATGTGATAAACAAAGTAGACAATGAACAGTAATGAAAACCAATTTGTAAACAAATAACTGACAAGGTCAAAAGATGTGTCAATAGTCATCTCACTGTAAATTTGTTAATATTATTAGTACATATATATACATACATAACAAAAGCTTCGACAACAGATTTCTAGAAAACACTGCTTAAAATACTCGGTAACTTTAACACACTAATTTGATCGTAAGGTAAAAACAACAATACTAGGCAATAATACAATCGAATATTTAACTTACTTGAAATTTCCAAGCAGGTTTTAATGTAAATGCGAACCATGCAATAAACCAAGCAAATATAACAATAATTCCTGAGATTACATTAAATAATAAAATGGAATGTTTAGTTATCCTGTAAACCAATATACAATCCCACATAATTGGTATTTTAAAACCAAGTACAAGTAAACTGCCAATCAATGCATATATATGTGGTGCATATGAATATAAGTAACATCGACATCCAGTATGTAACATTTCTGCACCATAACCATAACCACGAGTTTTACGCGTTGTCCAACCATTTGTATCAGTAGCAGTACCTAAACAATGACTGGATTTTCCACCACTTATTTGACCTGAATGTACTGATTCTGTCACTGTATGACTGAATAAATTGCCTGAAGATAAACCATTGGGATTGACTCCACAATTACTGCGTCTTTCTATTAATTCACTATTAGAAATCAGACCACCTCCATTGACCAGTGGATAACCATTCCCGTTACATGATCCAATAAGATAATGTCTGTAGGCTGAAAGATTCTCGGTGAATTGATGATAACCATATTCAAACATTGCCATAAAAAGACTAAGAAATAATATAGTTCCAAAGAATGAAAGTGCTAATGGTCCAATAATACTTAAAGTAAAACTTGACTCTATAGTTAATACGTCCAATGGATCTGATTTATCGTTTCCAGGCGATTCACTTCCTGCAACTGTTTGTTTTTCAATATTTGAATTACTTGCTGGTAAATTCGGTAATGTAAGAAGTTTTAATTCAGTTGGCCAAATTTCACTTGGAATCAGAAGTTGATTCCAACCAAGTCGTACAAGAATAGATGTTGCACAACATTCTAATAAAGCATTTATGCCTGTTAATAATAGGAGTAGGGAGAAAACGAACGAAAATCCACGATTCGTATACCAAAACACACTCGGATAACGTAAGCTAAGAATTAAGAATGCGATAGCTAGATTAAAAAATTCCGGTGATATTGCTCTTAAATCATCCCAGGTTGATTTATCATCATGTAGTAACTGTTCTGGACCTTTTGCATTTGATTGCGATTCTAACTTGACAGGTGATAAAAGTTTTGAAGTTTGTCCTGGTGTAGGTGATAACGGTTGATTTAGCGGTTGTACAAATACATTGCGTAAGCCAAACAAAACATCTAAATCCGAACGCCATATCCAATCTTTAGTTAGAATTAAAAAGAAACATCAAAATACATTTTAGCTGATACTTTAATAAACATAGAAATATAGGTAATGTTTAAGAGTAAAAGATCAATGAAAAACTTGTAATTTGATAGCCTATTGCAAATAAATAGAGTTTGTCAACAATCACTTTGAGGATATAACATAGTAGCTAATTTTACAGAATGCTTACGGATTCCAAACCAAAGTTGCAACTAATTTCAATTAGCAATCAATTATTTGGTGAATTTATAGTTTACACCAATCAAGGTTAAACCACTGATGTTTATGATGAATTAAATCTATAAGCTGCTATAATACAGTATAATACGGTTGTTATACAATGTTGTTCTAATTAGCCGAATGTTAACACCATGACTAGGACATTAACTATCCACACCAATGGCTTCTTTTCGCTTTCATTTATTCAGCTAGTCAAGTTGATTTCGCTAAGTTTAGAATTTTCGTAGAGTTGATGCTTTCTAACTCGGAATAGGCAAAACTGTAAACTGTTCAATTATTCCTTGTCTAATTTAAATGAACGCTTAATTAAGTATTGAATAGTCATCTTTAATTATGTACATTTTTAATAGTAATCTATCGAAAGCCCATCGTCGAATAACCATCTCAATTGCAAGATGACCCATCATACGTGAATCAAACATCATTCTTCCCATAGATTTACGTTTCTACGCATGTGAAAAGTTTACGTAGATCTAGTCCCGTTTTAGATCTCTTATACTATGCTTTTTCACACATTATTTAAACCAATTAGAAATGTCATGTAATATTTATACAATAGCGTTTCATATCTTTTGTTATTTATGCTGAATATTGAACAAAAAAAATACTCGCTAGTTTAATAACTTCAAGGCCTAATCATAATCGATCTAGTTCACTTTATCAGATGTAGTCAAGCCGGATTTTTTGTTCATATATTTGAAACACTATAATTCAGCTACATTTGGAAGTTAATGAATCCAAATATTTCCGTGAGGTTTTAAAAATAACTTTTCAAGAAAAAAGCAGATAAAATCACGACTGCAAAATTTAGTCTTTAGTGAGGAAAAAAGTTTTATTCGCGTATCTAAATCAAACTTCTTAAAATTACCGAAAATCTCTTTAGAATACGATAGTACAGAAATCACTGAAAAATAACCCGATAATTTTAATAAATCATCGGAGAATTCTACTTCCTACACACAATAGATTTAATCGATGCTTCCTAATTTAATATTAAAATGTTTGTGAAAGATTTTAAATAGGCGGAAAGAGCTTTTGACTGATAAAATCCTTCTTTGTTTTAAAAGTAACGTTACAACAACAAAATTTCTTCACGTAACGTAACGAGACTGCTCCCTCGGTAACGAAAAATAATAAATACAACACTACTGACATTACCATGCTAGACGGTAAGAAAAACACCTGAAATTCATCAATTATTATGATAATTAGTTGTTGAATATGCTACACTAACCTGGTTGCTTATTTCTTACATAGATAATAATTTCTAACTATTTTGGTATACTAATCACATGATGTGCAGAATAAAATCACCACAGTACATGTTGTTTCTATCTTTTAAGAAAAACTTTTATTCGAAAGATCGTAAATAATTGTATAAATAATCAGTCAGTCAGTTACAACGTAAAACTTTGTACGTACGTACATCAGTTCAGGTTACCATACCCCATCAGCACAGAGACGCAACTGTCAGTTCAAATCACATAGTGGTAGAGATATTAGAAGTATTGGCGGTTATGGAGAAGATTAGGGTTCGAAGACATTATTCAAGAAGTATGATTCAGTGAGATAACTTCGGAAGGAGACCCCAACCAAATAGTCTGTATCTACCAACATGACTCAGTCCACTTATCAGTGACTTCATGGATTTGTGCCATGTTTTGGTTTGACCGCGCCCACTGAAAAGTATAAATGAACGACTAACTAATCAAATTTCTGACGTCAGCTATTAGGATTTCAAGATAAAGTCGAAATGCGATGTTGGGTAACATGAATTTTATTGAAAGATGCGTATGAAGTACGTAAAGCCTACCGATATTTAGTTAATAAGGGACTCAAAATATAGCAAAACGAAAAGAGGAAAGAAAAAGAACGAACCTGAACAATCATTAAGCCAATTTTGTATTGGAAAATTTAAACAGTTAAAACAAATGTAGAACTATAAGAGTGATTGAAGAATTTTCTGATAAAACCTAAAGATTCTTACAAATTGCTAATGAAACTTCTTATCCTAACCTCAAACTATTTTTGAATTCTTATGTAAGAGGTTATTTATTTGAATCACCTGCATGTTTGTTATGTTAAAATTGGCGTTCTGTTCACAGGGTTATTTTAAATGTTACTGGTGTTCGTTAGCTAGATGGAGTTCCAAGTGAAAAAACAAACGAAAAAGGGTGAATGGCTAGTAGTATTAGTACTAAGAATTTTTCCTTTTCTTGAATACAATTATCAGTGTGATTCTTAAATAAAATTTTTCAACTGAAAATGCTAAAAAGACAATAATTCTGTCTTCACTAACACCAATAATAAAGACGTCAAAGGCAAGTGTTTTCCAAGAAATCTATGTTTTTTGGTGGACATTTTTTTATTTCTCTTCTGACGCAGTTCAGACTGTCAATCTCTGCCTCTCTTTCCACTGTTTTTGTTTTATCCTGTCACCATCTCTCCTAAATTAGTTGAAGGGATTTGTTTAACCGAATAATGATAACGTAAATATTTATGTCGTTTTATACTGAATTGATTTTCTTAGATGAGTGCGTAAAATTATCATTACTCTCGTGTGCTGAATTATTTTCAGTTGTTGATAATTTCAAATGAAATTATTTCAATTCAAATACAACCACCCTATTTTAATAGATTTTTGTTTCCGGAGCCCAAAAATAATATTACTTAAAGAAATTTATGTAACTCAATATATTTCACTTAAACTAGACAAGTATCAATGCATACCAACAACATTGTGTGATGTTTGAAAACCTGTATAAATTCTGATTTTCAAAGATTATTTCCAGAACATTTTTACACAGAGGCGGAAAGTGGCATCCACGATACATATTTGAGACTCATCAGCTAGATGTACCTGAATCCTATTGTTGGTGTTTACTCAAGGCCACGCATCGCTTCAAATGCCAATCAGTCAATAGCAGCATAGAACTTCGTACGTTCGTACATCAATTCAAGTTGCCATACCACATTAGCACAGAGATGTGCTTGTCACTTCAAATCCCATAGTAGTAGAGGTAGTAAAGGTATTAGCAGTAATTGTAAAGATTAGGGTTCTACAATATTATTCAAGAAGTAGAATCTAGTGAAATAAACTTAAAGAGAAAAAGATAAAGTGATGCGGAATTCAGAAGGTTAGGCCTTGAGTGAACACAAAGAATGAATGCACCTGGGTCATTGCAAACGGTTTTGAGCCATGTCATTCAGGGTCTCTAACCCATTTAGCCACTAGCTTTCATAATGAGTGTTAATTGTAAATGTGTGAGAAATATAAAATTTATGTGAACTGTACTCTCTACAATAGCCCTTCAATAGCCAGTTATTATTTGTCATCCATTTTACTTCATATTATGGGACCTGATTCCCAAGTTTACTACTGGAGGTCAGTGTCTTCATCCACAATAAACAGTACTCTACGTATGACCTAAACGAAATGTTCATAATGAATAAGTATCGATTTTTATTTTTTTAAAATAAGCATTCATATGCAGGTGGGTGAGTAATGACAGAAACTAATATACTCAGTTGATTTACTTAAACACATTTACTACGCCCTGAATTATACCCATAAATCGATTCTTCAGGGAGAATAGATAAAAAATAAAATAATTCATGGTCATCCAAACCACCCCACCACCACCATCAAAACATACACATAAATGAGTCACAAAGAATTAATTAAAAATTGTATTGGGTTGAACTTTGATTCTTTTTACTTTTTGTAATTCATGTCTACACACAATTTTGAATACTAGTAAAAATGCATATAAGTCAGTCACTTATCACTGATGTTATTAAAAAAAATAATGTCGGATATTACTCAGAAATCCTCTTTTAAAAATAGAATGTTCTCTAACGTAGCTATTTGTTCTAGAAGTTTCATAGAATGTATTCATGTGTACACGTGTTTGCAATTTAGGGAAATCAACATGACAATATAAAATGCATGGATCATATTTATTGTGTATTCATTGTCACAAAACTATTTTTTGAAAACTATGTTCACATGACTACGAATTTCCGTTTTGAGATTTATTGATAAATGATTTTTCTGTATTTACATAAATAGATATTTACGTGTTTGGTTGACAAAGTTGACAGAATGTGGAAGAAAAAAACAATGACCAAAAACTAACAAATGAAAATGTGACACAAATAATTTGTCTATAAAAACAATGCATAAACAAAAACCAGCTAAAGTAAAATTCAACAACTTATTTATAACTATTTAAATCTATAGAAGATAGGTAATGGAAATAATATCATTGAATGAGATATCAAATCTATGACGATACTTAGATAATGGGTACAATGTCGAATATTCAATGTTTCCCATCAGTTGTGTTCTACTGCATGATTATGAGATGGTAAGTTTTTAGCTCAGTCGGATGGTGATGGTGGAGTTTTGTTCTCTGAGCTGGATGTTTTGGTTGTGGAGCTTTCATTGTTCATGTGAACAACATCATCAGAACAAACGTCAAGTATAAGTGAAGTATTTGAATTTTTCCATATCTGACTCGTGACATGTCCTGTTGACCTTGATCTTGATTGGTTGCCAGTGACCTTTAACCTGTCGTTGTCTGCCTCTTTATCATATCCCCCTTTGATATGTTGCTTGATCCTATGTTTGTCTATGTTTTTCTGATTGGTTGATAAACTTGATCAAAGTCGATATGCTTGTTGATTGCCAATTGACCCGAGTGACAAGCTTTTAAAATATTTATGATGTTCCGTGTATTCCCTCTATCCAGTA